GGCCTCTCCCGAACTCTCTGTTTGCCCTGTCATAACCAAGAAGATCGTCTGTAAACTCTCAGTCTATCCTATCACGGCTATGGAGGCCGTCTGTGAACTTTCTGTCTGTCCTGTCATGGTTATGGAGGTCGTCTGTGAATTCTCTGCCTGTCCGGTTACGGCTAAGAAGGCCGTTTCTAAACTCTTAGGCCATGGTGGTCCTTAGCTCTGCTCTGGTGGTCTTCAGCTCTGCCCTGGCTCCCTGCTCTGTCGGCTACGCCCGGGCTCACTGCAATGCCCTGGCACTCTGCTCTGCCCTGGCTCTCTGTTCCACTGGTTCTGCCTTGGCTTACAGCTCCACCCTGGCTCCCTGCTCCGCCGGCTTCGCCCTAGCTCTCTGCTCCGATGTTTGCTGTTGTTGACCACGCCTGTTTGACTACGCTCTTATTAAAGCGTTGCATTTGGATCCCCACTTTGTCGTTACGCCTCCTTCGTTACACCATGTGCTACAGGAAGGTGAACATAATACATATTATAATTAATATATGTTAAAATAAAGCTAATATATTTTATAGAATATTTGCAATATATTTGCAATGAGTATAAATACATTATTTTTACATAGATAATTGTCCATGTCAAATAAATAAATAATTGCTTCCCATGCAGTCTTAAAGTAACTGGCACTACATGGAGGTGTGCTGAGACACACACACACACACACACACACACACACACACTCAGGTTTGTTTTTGTGAATTGTGGGGACATTCCATAGGCGTAATGGTTTTAATATTGTACAAACTGTATGTTAGTACAATAAACCTACCCCTTACAGGAAACGTTGTGCATTTTTACATTCTCAAAAAAACTCACTCTGTATGATTTATAAGCGTTTTGAAAAATGGGGACATGGGGTAATGTCCTCATAAGTCACCTTCTCCTTGTAATACCTATGTCATACCCATGTCATTATACAAATTTGTGTCCTCATATGTCACAAAAATGTGCGCGCACACACACACACACACACACACACACACAGAAGAGATTTCAGCTGTGTCCTCAAGAGTAAAAAAAAAAAAAACTAACACAACTTGTGCTGACACAGAATAGCGTAAACACATATAACAAAGGGATCCCACTTGAAAAATGCTGTGAAAAAAATATACATATATGGTTTCTCCTGAAATGAAAGGCACGTGAGGAAAACCAGAGGAAGAGAAAAGCAGATGGTGAGTGAAACACACAAACACACACCTCGCACACACACAGGAGCGGTTGGAGCCGACAGAGGCTGATCAGGCAGGCCGAGTCCGGCAGGAACGGTGGGTGCCTAGCTGACCTCGCGACCACAGGCTGCATCGGGAATGGTGGTGCGCTGTGTCCAGGCATGCTCAGAAAGTCCTGCTGTCAGGATAAAGAGAGAGAAGGAGATGGAGAGAAATGGCAGAGGAAGGCTGTCAGAAGGGAAGGCCTGGAGTCATTAATCACCCCAGACAGATGCACTCACTGTCCACACACTGATCCCATCAGCCCTCAGACAGATACAGCCAGAGAGCCAGAGGAAGTGAGCTGGATCTGGGCTACTCAACTTGTTTTGGTTCAGGACACATTTTGGACATCAAGTAAAGACCTAACACAAGATTGCAAACAAAAATGTCTTTAAAATCCAACGCTGACATTCATTAACTTAACCATGAACAACACAGGCCAGGCTGCCAGTATATGGATGCTTGTTTCTGCTATGGGACAAAAAAAAATGATCTCGCAATTCTGAAAAGAAAAAAAGAGACATGAACTCAAAATTGCAAGAAAGAAAGTCAAAATTCTGAGTTTATATCTCACATTTCTTATTTCTTTCTCTCAATTCTGAGTTTATATATCACAATTGTGACATTTTTTTAAGATATAAACTTAGAATTTCAAGATATAAATGCAAAATTGATGCATATACTCGCACAACTGAGAAACAAATCTGAATCGTGAGATATATACTTGCAATTGTGGAAAAAAATAAAAAAACTTTTTTTAATAGCATTAAATGCCAAAATGGCAAAAAAAACAATTGCCAGGTGTAAGTCAGAATAGTGAGATGTAAACTTTTGTGAGAAAGAGTTTATATCTAGCAAATGTGTTTAAAATAAAGGTTCTCTATAGTAACTTAAGTTCAGTGAAAAACCTTATAAAAAAATATATATATTTTTTTTCTGTGTAGGGCAGGGCTTTGCAAACTCTGAATAATTCTATATGATTATATACGTTTAGGAGCATTAAAATGTTCTGCATTTTAACATCATTTTTATATTTAAGCACATTTCCTGCGGAATTGTAAAAGTTTATAAATAAAAAAAAAAAACAATAAATAAATAAATAAATTCCACTTTAAAGTAATGAGAATGAGATTGAAATACAATCAAAAGAATTTGGAAGCAAAATGTGCTTAATTTCCATTAAAATAATATCACTGTGCCAAAAATGCACACAATTACTATTCGTGAGGAGAGGACAATGCACCTACTACAATACTTGTCAGTGACCACTCCTTTAAACACTCCATCAAAGCATTACTACCGAGATATATTTTTGCCATTTATGAAAGGTCATCATTGTGAGTTATTGCAGAAATGAGTCACTGGCCCGATTCGAATGGATGGGGGGCAAATTCAGTCACACATGACACAACCTGACAGACAGCTGCAGTCTCACGCCTGATCTCTGCTCCCATTTACACACACTGTGCTGTGAAAACAACATACTGTGAATAAAACGAAAAAAAAAAAATCTGTGCCGCTGTCAAAGGAAATCGGCCATTCAGACTATTTGCACATTTCTGCCACAGGAATAGGATAAATACATACAATTACTGTGCAATTCAAAATGTTCTAATACAAAGCAGTCCCAAAAAGTGTTTGGACACTCAGGCCAGTCTTAATGCATGCATTTCATTGTATTAGATGATTAATTATGGAGAAAAAAAATATTTTATTATCTACTGCAATGACATTCATACAATTTAAGTTTCGAATACTTTTCGGGGACACTGTAAAACTTATGTGCTCAAAAATCACATTGAATCATTCATTAAATACACAACAACATCATATCCTGATTTTATATACTTAAACAAATAAAACTCAAGTGTTCTCGTATTGAAAAGTATGACCTAAACTCCAAAGCGGCAGCAGAAACATTTACTTTAGTTTAGAGATCATTGTTTTCGCATTATGAGAAAGAACATCTAAAGCTCTCAGTATAAAGAGCCATGTTCAGTCTGACTGATAATCTGCAATAACAGATCTTTCCTGCAAGTGCTTCAGAACCAGAGAGCTCTGGAGACACTCTTGACTGTAAGTGCACAACATCCATTTACAGAATGCTGTTGTTTGTACACTTCACATGGATGAAGTTCATGCTGAAAATGGACAAGAATGTTTTAGAGTTTGAAAACAGAAAACAACTATTCAGCTGCTTGTTTACATAGTCTGCTTCAGTGCTGGGTTACAATGTAAAAGAGAGGACACTGGGTTGGCTCAGTGTAGTGGAACTCAAACATGTCTGATCTGAAAGAAAAAAAAACAGTTTTGACGTTACGGTAGTGGCAGCTGGAGAAGCCTGTTATTCACAAAAGAGAAGCCATTTACACATTATAAGTAATTTCAGATCAACCTGTGGGAAAGAAAAAGCAGAAATTAGAATATTACTTTAATATCTCTTCTGTCCTATACATCAGTGAGATTAAATGTAGAGCAAATGGAGATTTTCGCTCAAGTCACCTGCTCCTCTGATATTCTGAGAAATACCCCTTGAAATAAAAAATGACTGACATCTCCAGTACGTCTGCTGAGATTTGAAAGAGCAATAACATTTTCCTCTGGAAGAGCTTTTATGAAGGCAATAATAAGAGTAAATATGAAAAATATGAAATATGAGTGTTTCTCTGTTAATTAACCTGCTGGTTTTCAGAGCTGAACTGGTTGCACTAAATCAAGCGAACACAGAACGCAATATCAATAAGGCCTGACTGGCTTAGGCTGAACCAGAACTGATTACATCATCATAATTTAAACCAAAAATATTTAATTAAGCAGCTCTTCTAAGCAGCTCCTTAATATTAGCCATTTTAGGATTTATGATCCAGTCACTTACTGAACTGCAACACACACACACACACACACATGTCCCCCTCGGGATGAATCTGACAAATCCAATCCTGTTTTTGTTGTCATTTTTCACCCCAAAATAAGAAAAAAAGCCTGTTTTTATTTTTGTTATATATAATAATGTATACATAATACCATGACTATATATATATATAAAGTTTACATTATACAGTAACACAATATGAAATAAAATAATCTTATGCTACTGTTTATTTTGATTTTAGGTTGAAATATGGGCATGTTTTCATGGGAATCACCCTTCTGTACAAAAAACAAAAAACAAAAAAAAAGGTCCATCCACCAACATAAACTGCCATTGTAAGTTGTTTCTGTAAATAATACCAAATGTATGTGCTCAAAACATGTAAAAACACAAGTGCATACAAAACACACATGCACACAACACTTCGTCTTTGTGCATCGGCTGCATGTTAACAGTCTAGATGAAGTCAACAGTGCCAGATTGAGGAGTAAATGTCATTAATAATGCGTCGATGACGTGCTGCTGTCACACGCAAATGTAAACAAACAATGCTCTGATTTGCATTAATCAGGTATGAAAGGGTTTTCTGGTATAAAATCAGTAAATGCCTCATTGATTGATGTGGGTTTCATCACCCAGTGACAGATGATGTAAGTGACCTTGCTTATGCAAAACTGCAATCATTAACCCACTCAGGAATACATCCTAAATATAAAATGGTGGAATAAATCGCACACACCCCAGCTCAACGTTTCCATATGCACAGATGCAAGTATTTCCACCCACCCCCCACCACCATAAGCACTTACATCACAGGAAAGAACGCACACACACACACACACACACACAGAGCCACGATCAAGTGCTTGCATAGATATTTCTATCGAGCGGTGGCAGGCTCTGCCGGCTTGGATCGATACACTCAGCTGTGTCTGTACCATTCTGAGGTGCATTCTAATAGCTCCGAGAGCCAAAGCAAGTTAACTGCCTGCTACAATACAGTACACATCAACCTCTTTCCAGCATTCACACCAACCTCTCTGATGCATTATAGCATAAGAGCACTTGATAATGCGATCAGAACATTTCCAGGAATATTCACCACCTCGTCTTTCACAAATGAGCATATGTCTGTCCAGCTATAGATTTGAGCTGTAGTAAAGAAATAGTTCATTCAAAAATGAAAATTTGTTAACATTTACTCACCCTCAGAACACCCAAGATGTAGATGAGTTTGTTTCTTCCTCAGATATGGAGAAATTGACCATTACATCACTTGCTCACCAATGGTTCCTCTGCAATGAATGGGTGCCATCAGAATGAGAGTCCAAACAGATGATAAAAACATTACAATAATCCACAAGTAATCCACACCACTCCAGTCCATCAAGTATTGCCTTGTGAAGCGAAAGGCTGTGTGTTTGTAAGGAACAAATCCATCATTAAGACATTTTTAACTTCAAAACATTGCTTCCGGCTAAAATACTAGTCCATAAAACATAATAATGCTTCCTCCAGTGAAAAAGTCCATCTCCTGTTGTCCTCTCACATCAAAATCCACACACATATTTGTTTAGAACTGCTTTGGACTGTTTTCACTTGTAAACAATGTGTGAATATTTCTCTCTCGATTCAGATGAGATGACTTTTTCACTGGAGAAAGCAATATTATGGATATAAGGCTTGTATTTCAACCAGAAGCAACAGTTTGAAGTTAAAAATGCCTTAATGATGGATATGTTTCTTGCAAACATGCAGCTTTTTGATTCATAAGATGTTAATTGTTGGACTGGAGTTGTGTGGATTACTTGTGGATTATTCTGATTATTCTCATTCTGACGGCACCCATTCACTGCAGAGGGTCTATTGGTAAGCAAGTGAGGTAATGCTAAATTTCTCCAAATTTGTTCCCATGAAGAAACAAACTCATCTACATCTTGG